CGTATCAAGTCTGGCTGTTCTATTTTTGATCTCCTTTTCTCTATCGGTTGCTTGCTTCAGTTCCCTCTCTAACCGCTCGCGGATCCTTTCGACTTGTTACAAAGAAGGTGCTCAACCCCGTACACACATACACAGATGAATGGGGGAGGAGAGACGAAGGAGGTGGGGTAGGTAGACAGCACTGAAAGTCACCGAGATAGAATCTGATAGGTCACCGATATGGTAGTCCAAAATGTCATCCAACAAGATCAAAATGTCGAGGACGATAGGTCACCAATGTCGGAGGTACAGAGTCCAAATGTAACCGGTGTCCGAACTGCGATGCAACCGAGTATCAACCCCAACAATCTCCAAGTCTCCAATCAGGTAAGTACCACAGTCTCATATCATCGAAGTCCAACTCTGATCTCTGTCCAACTAGTATAAGTATCCAATCTGATGAAGAAGAAGAAGAAGAAGAAGAAGAAGAAGAAGAAGAAGAAGAAGAAGGAGAAGAAGGAGGAGGAGGAGAGAGAGAGAGAGAGAGAGAGAGAGAGAGAGAGAGAGCTGACGAGGGAGGGAGGAGAGGTCCTCCGGCTCCCAGGTACCTCAGGCGGCAATGGCCGCCGTGCTGGCTCAGCCGCTCTGCTGTTGCTCCGCTTGCTGCTGCGCTAATGCTGCGCTGCCGCTGCTGCTCCTTGCTCACTCCTGCGCTAATCTTAGCGCATCAAACAACGCTCTGGCGCTGACCATACCGTTCCGGTAGAGTGCCGGTAGGTCGATCCCTGAAGTGAGGCCGGACCGGTTCTTTATACCGGTGGGCAGAGGCCGGCCTCACTGCTGCGAAGCCTGGTTGTGCCCTAAACCGTCCAGATGGACGGTTCAGCCCCAACCGGCGGGCGGCAGCCTCAAAAGCGCCGCCAGGCCCAAACGATAATGTCGTTTGGGCCTGCCCGTCGGGTCTGGTCCAAGGTGAGGCCTTTATGGCCTGTAGTACCCCAAGGTCGGGCCTTTAGGCCCTGGTGTGTCCCTCCGGCCCTAAGTCGGGTCCAGTAGGACCCGTGTGAGTCGAAGATGTAACACTAGACTAGTGGAGAGCACATGCACAAGGAGAA